TTATACTCACAGTTTAGGCTGACATTCCAACGGAGTGGAGTACTGAGGAGTGCTGAGTTTGAGTCTGAAGTGCCATCATTCGAATGAGACAATGTTCATCTGTCTATTCAGGTGAACATTAAAGATCATATGCTGCTATTTGAAAAAAGAAGGGCCAACAATCCTCCAGTAAATTGATAAAATAGCCATTCATTTTATTTACTGCATACACTTCTGGTCGCTGCAACATAAGGGCCCAATGACAGTTCAGAGGGGAGCACTAAGGATGATTTGCATGAGCAACAATTAGATAAGTTAGGACTCCAATCTTGAAAGAAGACCTTATAGAAACTGTTTCATGTAAACTACCGGAAAATTAAGGAGTTCTTTGTCCTTGAAACATCCAGTATAATTGTTAAAATTTGTGAATCGTGACATTACCTGAATACAATAATAATAATGAATTGGGTTCAATCCACGACTGTTTGTGGGACACTGCTGTGCACAATTGTCTGCTGCATTTTGCCCACAAAATATATAGTCAATTCACTTTACAGTATATTCTGTGAAGCGCTTTGAGACGTCTCAAAGATGTGATAAAGCACTATATCAAATGCAAGGATTATTATTATTACAAAATGTATTGTATGCATAATAGAACCTTCACAATTTGGTAAGTGGCTAAAGCAGTTGTGATTTAGTCATTCCTCCTGACATGGGTAAATTCTATATTCAACATCTCTATTAAATTAATAATGAATTAAAACCTTAATTAAACACCGTATTTCTATTTTGTCATTCGTTTTTAATGGGTGCTAGGATTTAGTCTCCCTCAGAGATATCTAGATTGATTTGTATCCTGATTAGTCCTGCGTTTTGAAGCAAAGCTCATACGCCTGCGTCAAATTCCCTAGCAAATTTGCCAACAGTCTGTACAGGGACCTTGCAAAATATATTTTCTAGTCTTTGTAGCAACGTAGAAATCAGTAGACAATTGACAGTTTAAAACAATTTTTTTTTACAGGCATAGGCAAAGGCGTGACAGAACGAAACATAAAATTACAACATATAGTACTTTTTAATGTCACTTTAACCAGTAACAGGTCGGTTCCCTTTTCCAAAACAGCCGCTTCATTTTAAGATGAAATTTTAGACTTTCCCTTTTGCGTAGCAGATTCCACTGTAAACAAAAATTCTATTAAAGGCAGATTCCACTGATTCTATCAGTGACCAAGCTCTTGTCAGTATTTAAATAGTCAAGCTTTTCTCACCCAGATGTGTGAAACCAAGAGACCCAAACCAAGTGGGTTTGTGACAGTGAACTTCACTTTTTCATAGAAAGTGCTTCTCCTGAGCAGCCTGACAAGTGCTGTAGTGTGATTCAGTCCTTTTCGAAAATATTGAGATCCACTGAAGACTAGTCAGGGATTTGGGACAAAGTGCCCTCCCTTTGCCTCAGCAATTCTTTTCAAGGCACATTATGTTTCAAAGTTAATATATGCTATACTTTATTTCAAAGTAATGTAAATGAGGTGTCAGCTTGGCTCAGTTAGTAGCACTCTCGTCTCTTCAGTCAGAAGGTTATGGGTTAGGGACCCCCTTGGGACGTCGTATAGACAGTCTGACATTCCAATATAGTGCATTGTTGGAGGTGCTGTGCTTCAAACAAGGTGATACACCAAGGTCCTTACAACAACAACAACAACAAGATTCCATTTATAAAGCGCCTTTCACGTCAGGAGGACGTCCCAAGGCGCTGCAGTTGGGTCATGACCCGAGCAGGGGGGAAATGGTCAGGGTGAGGGGAGGGAAGGGAGGGAGCGAGGAGGGGGTAGAGAGTCGAGAGGGGAGCTGAAGGCTCGGTCAAAGAGAAAGGTTTTGAGACCGGCCTTGAAGGAGGAAAGGGAGGAGGCGGCGGAGGCACTGGGGGATAGAGTTCCGGAGCCTAGGGGCTGAGAGGCTGAAGGCCCGACCACCGATGGTAGGGCGATTGGGGCGGGGGACGTGGAGCAGACCGGAGCCGGAGGAACGGAGGGTACGGGCAGGTAGGTAGGGGGATAGTAGGTTGGAGAGGTAGGAGGGAGCAAGGCCGTGAATGGCCTTGTAGGTGAGGATGAGGATCTTGAAATCAATCCTCTGGGGGATGGGGAGCCAGTGGAGGCGAGCGAGGGTGGGAGTGATGTGGTCCGAAGCCTGGTGCGGGACAGTACACGAGCTGCAGAGTTCTGAATGACCTGCAGCTTGTGGAGGGAGGTGCCGGGAAGGCCGACGAGGAGAGAGTTCCCATAGTCCAGCCTTGAGGTGATAAAGGCGTGGACCAGGGTTTCAGCAGCGTGAGGGGTGAGGTAGTGCCGTAGTCTGGCGATGTTCCGGAGGTGATGGAAGGCGGTGCCAGTTGTGGTGCGGATGTGAGGGAGAAAGGACAGCTCAGGGTCGAACAAAACGCCGAGGTTCCTGACTGGCTTTGAGAGGTGGAGAGTGCAGCCTTGGATGCTGATGGTGTCGGCGCCTGAGGTGCGGAGGCGCTGACGCGAACCAATCAGGAGGGCCTCGGTTTTTCGCACGTTGAGCTGAAGAAAGTTGTCTCTCGTCCAGGACTCGATGTCGGACAGGCAGCTGTCAGGACATCGGTGGTCGTGGAGTTGAGAGTAGAGGAGGAAAGGTAGAGTTGGGTGTCATCCGCATACATGTGGATGTATGGGAACTTACTGCCCGTTCAGGTGCATATCGAAGATTCCTTGGCAATTGTCAAAAAAAATTACTTTCTCCCCAGTATCCTGGCTAACAATCCTCCAGATAAAATTGGTCTTTCACTTTGTGGTTCTTGGTGAGGCATTTCTGTGTGGAAATTGGTGGCTGTGTTCACCTACATAATACGCAGTCACTACACTTAATCTTGTGAAGTGCTTTGAGATGTTTTAACAAAATGATAAGGTGCAAATGATCAAATGCAAGAATTATTACTAATGCAAGGATGGATTGGATACACACATGCCACAAAGTAACCCAAGGCAACCAGTTTTTAATAAGTAAATGTAAAGAGGATGCTTGTAATAGAAGTAGAAAAGGAATGAGTGTGAATGTAAATCAGTAAACAGCTTCAGAATAAAATGTCAGAAGGAAACTGAGAAGAAATGTGAAAAATATTTAGAGTTAGAAGAAACACTAAAGACAAAAGTTATACTATAGAGACATAAAAGAAAATTTTTGGTAACTAATGGAAGATGAAAAAACACAAATAGCACACGATCGAAGAATTAAGTTAAACAAATTTACGATGAACGATAAGGTAAACTGGGTATGTTCATGCTGGAGAAGAGAAGGTTGAGGGGCGATATGATTACAGTCTTTAAGATTCTGAAGGGACTAGATAATGTAGACCATGATAAGCTGTTTTATCTTGTATTGAACAGTAGAACCAGAGGACACGGACTGATTATAAATTCAGAACAAATCTCTAGAAACACTGAGTGAGTAGTAAACTTATGGCTCCCTAGGGAGCCAATGGGAGCAGAAATTGTTTGTTTCATGAACAAATTAGATAGATTTCTGCTAGAAATGAATATCTCAGGATACAGTATATAGTTTGGGACACGGCAGGTCAAGTGACTGCCAGAATGGTGGAAGGCCAACTAGGTAGACCTTGGTCTTCTTTCTCCTAGCAAATTGTCCATGTTCTTATTTTCAAAACTTTTGCTATCCCGGCAGGGCAAAACCTTGGGCAAGTTTCCTTACTCCACACGCCTGATAATATTCGCTCCAAAAACCAAAAAAACATAAAAAATTGGTCATTTTCAATCCATGACTGTTTGTGGGACACTGCTGTGCGCAATTGGCTGCCGCGTTTCGCCTGCAAATATACAGTCAATTCACTTTACAGCATATTCTGTGAAGCGCTTTGAGACGTCTAGAAGACGTGAAAAGCGCTATATCAAACGCAAGGATTATTATTTGTGGAATCTTGTTTTTCTACATTACTGTAAATTATCAAACTACACATTTAAGGTGTTAAGCAATAGTTTCAATGTGTTTTAACCATAAGTATCTAACAATTAAAATATGTTGATTATTGAAATACATTTTGCTCATAATCCAAAACATTATCCAAATGGAATAATAGACAAAATTCAATCCACTTGAGCTTTTTGATTTGATTTATCAAAATGTGTTTGGCGCAGGGAAGGGGGAGGGGAATCTAATACATAGAATCTTCCAGAATTAGGTCTGCTTTGAATCCATGAGTCATCACAGCTTGTAAGTTTGAATATTATTTGTGTAATAAGAAGATTTCTGGAGGTTAACCTTTTTACATTGAATTTGAATTGTATTTTGGGTCTTTTACCTCTGTGAATTTGTATTCCTGCAGCGCTCTAAAATGTCAAAACAACCTTACCTTACCTTGCCTTCCGAATATGATGTTTTCTTTATAAATGTGTAAATGCGTATTTTGGAAAAGATCAGCACTTTGCAGTACCAATTTCCAATGAATTCCTTCCAAGAAAATGGTTTGATGATGTTCAAATTCATCTGGAAGAAGGTTGCTGCTTTTCCAGGCCTCTTGCAATCTCTGCTGAAGCACAAAGATTCAGTACCACTAATGGCTCCTCTTTTATGATCTAAGACGTAAGAAATATAGTTGCAACATCATGCACAGTATTACAAATGTGTTTTAGGTGTCGCTAAGATTGATGGAAGAGGCAGCAGAGCAACAAGTAGTTGGATTGCATGCTTGGATGTCAAACATGGCAGCAACATTGCTGACCTGAAGAAGTACATTAAAATATTTAAAACGCAATGACTTTTAAAATTCATTATTATGGGTCTGAACCGCTTAAAAATAATAAAATCTGCCACAAATTCTTGAAGTTTTCTGAATAATTGATGGCATGTGTTCTTAATAACTACATTCTCTCAGTTTACAGCTCTGATTTTCTAAGCATCTGCTTGGAACTTTCTCTTCTGCTAAGTGGTTTTATTACAGAGTAAATTATGTGCTTATGTAAACACTGTTCTCATTGCAGTGAAGAGTTGCGCAAAGAAGTGCGTCAGTTGAAACGGGAACTTTTGGCAGCAAAACAAAAGAAGGAAGAAATTCCTACAAAAGAAGAAGAAGACAAAGAGTTGTCAGGTAAAGACTAACAAGAATAATATGTTTCTAGCTACTTCCTGACCTATTTGAGATGGGTAAAATCAGAATATATGGTTACCTCCAGACATTTTTGTTGTGAATGTTGTGTTGTGAATGTTACAATTGAGCCACTATTTACTATGCTATAAATTGACTCAATATAAAATCATTGTTCCTGAAGTTCATTTTGGGAGGGGAGGTTTCTCACCACGTTTCCTCCTTGAATTCTAAAGGCTTTGAATTGTTCTTTTTCCTTCTGCTCACAGTATACTTCACAGACGTCAGTTACCTTGGACATGTGGCCTTCATTCACGTATGAACTTTTATGGTGAATGTCAAGGGAGTGTATAGCTTAGACTATTACTCAACCGACTTCCATCTCTCATCTCCAGCAAGGGTTTCTGGGCAGGATCCCTGACTGTTTTTTCTTTTTCTAAATTTGGATCCAGCCATGCTGAGAACTAGTAGACAGTTAGAAATGCACTGAAAGTTATTCTGTTATCAAAAATGGGTGAACAATTTGGATTGTAAAGGGTTAAGCTACTAGGAAAACAATATTAAATTGTGAAAGAGTAGATAGAAGCAGAGAAAGCCAAACAGTGTTGCTTATTTGTGCAGAGGTAAAAATACTGGCAGCTAGCTGTTCACTGGGCTGACTCAGGGGTTCCATATATTTTACAATGTCATTGTGCCCTGCAGTAAAGAATGAAATGTATATGGATGAAGAGAGAAATGTGTTTATTTTCAATACTTATTAAATATAATAATCCTTCCATTTAGATATATCACTTAAGTATAATCCTGGACGAGTTTTGTGTCAAGAGAATGGCAAACTATAATTTGTTTGAAACTGAGCTTGAAAAACTTTATTGACAACAGAAGTTTAAAGGAGTGGTTGACATAGCAAGTTACAATGCTGAATTACAGTTCTAAAAATTTAGGTAAAAATCCAGCTCAAATTGATGGAATAAAAAAAATCTCCTTGTTACCTTTGTCTTTAACTGAAATGCATTTTACTAGTCTGAACCAGTTTCTCAGTGGGCATGAATCCACAGCACAAAATTGCCCCTAATTGGCACCTCATTTAGGTCACAAGGATGTCTGGAATGGGAAATGGAGATGTCACATTGATATGGTGCGAAGTGCTCACTTGAGGTTGGATTAACAGCAATTTTGGATCAGAATAGAGAAGGTTTTGCTCTGCATGTAACCTGTATTGTTCCTGATGTAAGCATGTTTGGTAGACTCATTGTGTGCAAATGTTCAAAAATCATTGTTTCACCCCAGACAGCTTTCACCTTAACGAACACACAACTCATCCAAAGCTTTAAACAAAAGCTCCTTAAAATTTTGATTTGTTTAATGTAAACTGTACATTTGCAAATAAAAAAAAGTAAAACACCAATAACTAAGTTGCAGTAGTTTGTGATCTTTAAACTATCATCTGTAAATGTTATCAGTTTAATTTTTTGAATAATATTGGTGAACACAGTATAATATAAATTATAAATCAAACACCACTATATAATAGTTCTGTTACAATTTTTAATTTTTTTTACAGCAATCAACCTATATTCTTAATACTTTACCACTATAGCCATTAATAAATCCATCTTATTTTAACACCCACTTTTGCCAGGTAAGAAGTTTTTGAAGAACTATTTATGTATGTTGAGCTGAGTTACTCAATCCATTTGATGATTTTACACTCCCCTGCCTATCTTTCAGAAAAATAATTCAAGTTCTACTTGAACAGACACATTTTTGGCCTGAAGGAAAATCCCCGAAAGATTATAGGAGTAGACATTGGAACAACTTCAAAGCCTTTTAAATCGTATTAATTTGTTGCATTGAATGCAACAATGCACAACCAGAAAATGTTCAACAGCCTTAATTAACACCTATGGTTAATAAAAGATTTGAAACTCCCTAGTATTACAACACTCATTTCTAAACTCATATATTTACTAATTTAACAATGATTGCCAGTTCTATACACATAAATAATTTGTGCATAAACAATTTATAAAAGTAATATTAAGTCCCTTAGCACATTGAATTGTTTCACAGAGCTTCACACTGCGAGTTACTTTGTTACACGTATAGTTTAGTTTAACTTGTTTCTTTTGTATGATTATTGTTTGTCATATCAGGAGATGGCTACAAGCAAAAAATACTTTGACACTTGTTATGTACAAAACCTACAGATAATCTGTACTATCAAATAATTTTCACTTCACATTCTTTCAGTAATCCACACGTTTATAATCTGTTACATCCTATAATGCATGTAGAGACTCTGAGTAAGATTCTAGAGTAAACCCAATCAGAGCTCAGTAACTGCTACCATTTTTCTAGCTGCAGAATTCTTCATTGAGACCTATTGCCTAAATACTGTACCTGCTTAGGGATTGAACATTCCAAGGACTCTTGCAGTGGTAGGAATGAAGTCCTGGAGAAAGAGCAAGCAAACAGGCTGCCCTTTCTGTCCCTCCCTCCACGCTTTCAATCCCGCCTCTCCCTCTTCTCTCTCCTCTGTCAGCTCCTGAATGAATGAACCCTATGCTCCGTTGATCCCATCCCTACCCCTAACTATTGTCCCATCTCCAACCTCCATGTCTCCACGTTACTGGAATGAGTTGTTGCTTCCCAGATTTGCTCTTTCCTCTCCCTGCATGAACTCATCCAATCCATCTTCTGCACTGCCCACAGTACCAAGACTTCCCTGGTCAAAGTCACAAATGACATTCTCTCCATCTGTGACCAAGACTTTTTCTGCCTCCTCTCCCTTCTTGACCTTCCTGCCACCTTTGACACCGTTGACCATTCTATTCTTCTCCACCGCCTTTCCTCTCATCTCCACTTTCAGAGTTTGTTCTCTGCCTGGTTTCATTCTTACCTTTCCCAGCCACTCCATTTCATATTTGCCATCGGCTCTTACTCCTGCACATTGGAGGCATTCCTCAGGCTCAATCCTTGGGCCTTTCTTTAATATTTACATACTCCCGCTACATGTATGTGGATGACACCCAACTCTCTTTGACTCCAACTTCAAGTCCAGGATCACTGCTGTTCTGACCGATAGCCTATCGGACACATCAAGTCCTGGATGAGAGTTAACTTTCTCCATTTGAATGTCAACAAAACAGAGGCTCCGTCAGCGCCTTCTCACCTCAGGCACTGGCAACGTCAATCTACATGGATGCCCACTCCACCTCACAAAGGCAGTGCCGAACCTTGATATCTTGCTTGATTCTCAACTGTTCTTTAAACCCCACATATGTGCCATGACCTGTACACAGTGATGGAGTCTGGCAATGTCCCACCTCTGCAACATTGCCACACCGATACCCGCAGGCTGCCGAGACCTTTATCCATGCTTTTATCATATCCTCGCTTGACTTTGTCAACTCTCTACTGACTGCAGTTTAGAAATCATATGCCACAAAACAATTCGATATTGTTATCTATGCTTACCCTCAGTCTATCCAGATGTTCATCCAAATATTTAAAAGGTGTTTTTCAGCACTGCATTAATTACTTTTCCTAGGAGCTACTTATCCACTTGGGAGAGACCTAGGTTCGATTCCTGGCAGGGTGAAACCTTGGGCAAGTTTCCTTACTCCACACACCTGATAATAATCCCTCAAGAAAAAAATAATAAAATTGGTCACTCAATCCACGACTTCTGCTTCTGGCTGCCGCATTGTGCCCACAAATATACAGTCAATTCACTTAACAGTATATTCTGTGAAGCGCTTTGAGACGTCTAGAAGAGGTGAAAAACGCTATATCAAATGCAAAGATTATTATTATTATCCACTACTAATTGGGGAAGAATGCCTTCTTATGTCAACTCCTGCTTAAAAATTCACTCTGAAAGCAGAAATTTGATAATGAACGACAGGTTCATGAGCATCTGAAAAGCAGAAGTAGGTTAAGATTTCGGGCTTATTCTTTCATCTGAGAACTGAGGGTTTACTAATTTGCTTTAGGCACTACATATTTCATTAACAACTAGCACTTCTACAACAACTTTTATGTAGAATAAATATCGAAGAGCTTAAAAAATATGATGGGATGTTCCAAGTCAGGAAAAGGGAGAATTGAGCATGTTGATCAAAATATGATCAAAAGATAATTTTACAAGTGTTTTGAAGATAGTACGTGAGTTGGGGGAACAAATAGGTTTTGGAAGGGTATAGAGGGTGAGCGTGGGATGTGTCAGAAGGCTCAGTTGCTAATAGGGGGATATAGGGAGTGAGGAAAGACTAAAATAAAAGGAGTGGAAGGAGAATAGAGTTCAGAGCATATTCCATAGCTAGTCCATGAAGGGATTTGAATGTCAGGGCAAAAAATTTAAGTTGATCCCCTGTGAAAACGAGAGTCACTGGAGTCTGGCAAAGATCGGAATAATGGGTATGTAGAGCCTGGACCAGGACTGCAGAGTTTGAATCAGTATTGAGTTGTGGAGGGTTAAAGCCCAATAACTGCATTTTAAATGTTATAAGAATATTATTCTGATTAATGTGTATTTAAACCTATTTTGTTGTAGGTCAGTCCAGAAGCAATGGAGTTGTTTCTTTGGTTTAACAAACCTATTCACTGAAGACTCTGAGGATTATGTAGACTATTCAGCAAAATTAAGTTTATAAGATTGCAATAGTTTCTCTGTTGCACATCAATTCTGAAATATGGTCCAAAATATAATCCATGTGCTTGGCGAGATAGCTACTGTGATGTGATGTATGCCTGTTTCGATTACTGGCAGATTACTAGCAGATAGACTGGAAAAAGAAACATTTTGAGCTTCCATTGTCTAGTATTTTATCTAATTTTATATATTTGAAATTGAGTAAACCTTAGCATGATAGTTCTAAGGCAGGGTGCTTTTGGCTGCTGAGGGCCAGATGCCCTATTTGAAAAACATCCGAGGACCACATAAGCAGTATTTTTGTGTTTCCCTTCCAGAAACATAAGATATACCGGTTATAGAGTAG